GTGGGTGTGTGTGTGTGTGTGTCTGGGTTCTCTCTCTGTGGGTCTGCCATGTCTGAATGTACAGTCTCACGCGCACACAGGTAGATGGATCAATCGACAGCGCGACCAATGAACCTCAATGCACAGGTTTTCATTCTGTGTCTAAACTGTCGATGAACCCCGCTCGCACGCAAGGAGGGAGACAGAGTGAGAGACCGAACAAACAGTCGTGCACGTGCACATGTGGACACACACACACACACCATGTGGGTGTATATATATATATATATGTGTGTGTGTATGTATGTATGTATGTATGTATGTATGTATGTATGTATGTGTGCATATATAAAAATATGTATGCATTTGGATATGTGTGTGTGGGTGTTGATATTGTTATAGGTATTATATTAATATATGTGTATTTTGTATATGTACGTATGTTGTCTAATGTATACGTATGTGTATATATATATATATGCATGCTTATATGTGCGTACGTATAAGTGTGTATGTACATAGAGGCATACATGCATACATACATACATACATACATGCATGCGTGCGTACGTACGTGCATATTTTCAAACCTACCTACTGGCGTGCCTGCACACCTACATGCATAGACGCGTACGGACACATGCACAAATATCTGCGTACAACCATGCATGGCTACATACGCATGCAGACATACACCCATACAAGCAAACATACATACATACATACATACATAAACTGTGCAGTTACAAACATCAACTACATTGATGACGAACCCCCCCCCACACACACACACACACACAGCACACAGTATTCGCACCACAAGTATCACATCCATTCGTCCATGCCAGCATGTATCCAGCCAGCCGTCCATCCGTCCTTCTGTGCATGCATGCATGCATGCATCCATGCACACACACACACACAAAAGCAAACTCGAGGACACCCTGACGCAAACAACCTGCTGGCGCAAAACTTGGCGAGAGCTAGCAGATCAGCAAGCTTCTTGCAAAAAAGCGACCTTGGTAGTGGCCTGGTGTGCCAGTCACAGATGTCATGACTGTCAGGTGTCTCAATCCACATTCGCACTAAAATAAGTGCATGGTTGACGGCAAGCATCCTTGCTGCAATGCGAACTTCGCATAGCCCACCACGCGTTGCTCCTCTGGAGGAATCGCCCAGTCCTCGGAGAACCCAATGCCCCTGCAGCTAATTGAGTGCACAAGTGTGCTTGGGCCCTAGAGATTCTTTTCACAAGGGACTCGACTGCTGCCCTTACTGCCCAGCTAAGAAGGCAACTCCTGAACGTGCAAAAACGGGTTCCAGATGCAGGCGGGTGGCGCTACCGGCAAGCTCTGCTAAAATGGAGCTGCTGCCCGTCGGGCTGCTCTTGTGGCCAATCTCACGGCAAGTCAGATGCGAATGAGCACTGTGCATGCAGAGCGGGGGCCGCGAAAGGCTACTTGAATCAACAATACGTAAGCTTGGTTAAACATGGGAATGCGGAAAGGCATGCAAAAGATTCACTCTTACTCTTACTGACAGCAACCACGGTAATACTGAAATTTATGCTTGTCATTCCTGTTCTAAGTTTCTAGAACCATATGAATGCGAACCATCAACCAGTGAAGTCTCGCAAGCAAGACACCTGACGAAGTTCATCAGGCGACAGCAGCTGAATGAAGGACTCGTTCGTGGACACCTGCTGTAGCAGGGCTGGCTGCTGGCAGCACGGGATTACGAGCAAAGGCGGTGCCAGCAAAGCTGCCGACCTGGCTGATCTGCAAAGTCTCTTTCCAGGGATTGAAGATCGACAGCGGATGGTGCACTACCTCGCCGGCCCCAACCTGACAGTCCAAAGCAAAACACCAATGACAAGTTGCATTAGGTCATCCTCCGGGATGACAGTGCTACCACGAGTATCTTGGGGCGTCTTACCGGTGGGTTCATCTGGGTTGGCTGCGACAAAACGATGCAGAAACTCTACGGCGGCCCGGCCTTCAAGTTGTGAATCGCTTCAGCTTTGTACGGATTGGGGGCGGAATGGCCCTGCACCGGATAGTGCACTAAGCCTCGGACAGCAAGGGCTCAGCACGTTACGGCTGGGAAGCGATGGAGCTAATGCAACCGTGGCTCCTGCACTGGTCTTTACAGAGATTCGTCCTCTCACTTCCCCCGGCTGAGTGGCCAGGAACATAACATGCATGACGCCCTCAGTCCGTGGTGGGTGACCCTTCGGTGCACAAGCTTGAAAGTTGCAGATTTCGAGTCTGGCAAGTAAGGGGCCAACGATGGTCGGCGACTTTCCTTTCTTTTTGGTCTGCTTCCCGGTCTTTGGCACCAGCGCCGGGTAGACCGCATCCATGTCAGAAGAGACAGAATCCTCCGAAAAGCAGGTGCTGAGCAAAGTTAAGGCGACCCACTAGACGGAGGACACAGTCGCTGGATTGCGGGCCAAGCTTCTACTGAAATTATGGCATGGCAGCCATCGCAATAGATGCGAACTTGCGTTTGATGAGGAACACATGTCAACTCCTGAGAACGGAAGCGCAGAGGGTGCCCTGCTTCAGCATGATGGGGTGCATGGACCACGGTGACACCCCGCAGACTGTCAGCAACCACTCGCGACCCAGAGTCATCATAGAACTCTAGCTCGGGCGGGTCAAAACGCATCGAACCCAGCTTGACTCCTGGTGGACGTCTGCGCATGCTGGCCGAACGAAAAATCAAAAGACATGAGATCTGTCGGCCCACTACCTTCTTCCACCTCGCGCCATTGCGGCCACCACATGATTGATCGATCTTCAGAGTGAGGAGAGATTCCACAGACAGCTCGCACTTAGACGACATGTACTACCAGCATCACTAGTCACAAGAATGCCTGCCCCAAGATGGAACTCCAATTCGAAAGAACCCTCTGTGCACGAGGGGCCTCAAGCTAGACAGCGCCAAAACCCCGAGCCCGAAACTCTGGGGCCTGGAGCGTGCGGTGATCCTGGAGGAGGCGGCTCCACATTTACGCCGGTGGAGAAAACCATGCCAGGGGCGCACAAGCTGAGCAGCATCAGAGCAACAGCCTGAGTCTTGCTAGCACTGAACACCGCAGTTCCTGTCCTGCTTGCAGCTATCAGTAGGAGTACCAGTCGTGGACGTCGCTTTGCCGGTGGCGAAGTTGCCGCTCTTGTCGGACGATAGCCGTTTTCAATATGGGCAGGTCATTCTGTGCGTTTCAAGCCCTGTTTTTAGCATGCAACTCTTTGCAAGCCAACGGGCTCTGCATCGCCGCTCGTGTGCAGCCATCAGCTACTGCACTTGGTCACTTTCCCCGACTTGCTGGAGGATCGCTGGGTCACTAAAAAGCCACAGCACTGCGGAGTCACTGTGGCAACAGGCACGCGCAAGGCAGCCAAAACCACTCGAGTGAAAGCCTGAGCAAATCTTCATTCGAATCGTCTGCCTGTTGTCGCACCCGTCCTGCTCTTCGTGGACCACCGACAACAAAGGTCGCTGTCCCTGGTGAAGACAAGCATATCGCAGTCATGGCGATGTGCATCAGCCCCACATGACAACGCACAGTGCCGTGGGAAACATCGCAGCATCTTGCAATCTTGATCCATCTTGCGGCGAGCACCGCCTGCACCCGCGGATGTCAACACTTGGAGCTGTGAACCAGGCCTCCCCACCCGCCCTTTCAAAAGAGTGTGAAACGCTTCGTAGGAGGTTTTGGGGGGCCACTCACAGAACTTCGACGCTTCCCATGCTCCTCTTGGCATAGATAGGTGAGGCATGCGAATGTTGAGAATCAATCCAGAAGCACTGCTTCAGTCAATGGCAGCTGAGCGTAAGTAGGCAGAGTTGCATTTTGCAACTCCACGCGCCGTCGTATGGCAGGCAGCTTGACTAGAGAAGAGGGCGTAACCATTCTGCTTCGACTCCTGGCCCGTGGAAGAACAGATTTCGAATCACTTTAAGACAACCCTCGTCTTGCAGCCACCTCCCACGACAGGTAAGCTATCTTTAAGGAATTCTGTCTTCTCACGTCTGCGCGGCTGAGAGAGGGCACCAATAACGTTTGGCACCGGCAAGCACCAGCGACTGGACGGCTGTCGGGACAGAGATGAAAGCGGGAGGTCGCAGTCACATTTAATAAGTTTCTCCGTGCAGGGTTCAAACATCCTGCGTCCAAAAGAGACGTTGGCAATGGAGCTTGCATTTCACGCCAGCACCTGTCAGCTCCGATTTGTAGCTATCCGCATAGGAACTGAATTTCACTGGCCTGCAAGAGAGCCATTGCGGCAACAGCAGCGCTGGCCAACTGCAGCACTGGAGAGTGCGATCTGTCCTTCGTGTTGTAGGCAGGAACGAATAGACAAAAGCAGAACCTTCACAAGAAGCCCAGACACCTCCGGCTCTTCTGTCGTAGTCGTTGCATTGGAGCTGTTGCCTCCACCGGTCTTGTTGCCATTCCTGGCATACATGTGAAGTGCCGACACAAGAGTAGACAAGAGATGCACCCTTGGCACTGAGAATATACTATCGCCGGGCTAAACAAATGCGGCCGGCTTGCGTAGTATACGCTGACCCCGATGCAGAGTCTAAAGCTTGTACCTCAGACATACGCTTGTCAGTGCATCGCTTGTTGCGCGTGAGGCGTGAGGACCTGTGCCGAATTGTGCCAACATACGTTGTGATGGCTGATGTTGTCCGGAAGCTTCGTGGGCACCACAGGGACAACCGACCGCAAATCGATGGGCATGTGATAACCTTTGGAGAGGTCTTGATAGTAAGACAAAGCAAAACAAGAACGCGCACAGCAGCATCGCCAACTGATGCTGCCAAATTGCGCTCTTCCAGTCCACAGGGAGAGCATCCGAGCATATGATCCTGCATGGCGTCAGCCCAGGATTGGTACTGATGGCACCACTGGTTCGTGCAGTTACTTCGTCCCATCTCCTGGAAGAAAGATCCCAGCCACACCTGCGACACCCGCATCCACTCGGGCAGCCTTTCCCACCTCGACTTTGCGCCCCACACCCCACAGGAAAGCACAACAAGCCACGATATGGCACAGATCTGCTCGATTCCTCAGAGCTCGGCCAGAGATTCGTTAGATGTTCTCCGTTCTGGTGGAAAACAATATCCTGCAGCGTGCTTCCCAGAGACTCCAATACCCCTTAATTACGGAATATACCTTAAAATAGTAGGACCCCTAATAAGATTTAAGGTATACCTTTTACACAGGCTTGATTGGAGCTCGCCCGGCCAATGTCCCTCGTAGCACATCGCACTCGCGGCGAGATGCCCAAGGTATAAGGTATACCTTTCTCTGCAACCGGAATTGTATAAGGTATACCTTTTTTTGCAACAGGCTTTCCACTGTATACCTAAACCCTAAACCCTAAACCCTAAACCCTAAACCCTAATTAAGGGGTATTGGGTTCTCTGGGCTTCTTTCAAGGCATAAGCCGAAGCGGAGCTCACGGGCTGAGGGCCAGGTCCTGGTGCAGGCTTCTGGTGTCCCCGTGGTACATGTCGATGGGGATGAGCAGACAACCGGCCTGTCATTATTATTATTATTATTATTATTTATATATATATATATATGTATATATTTTTTCTTTCTTATATTATAATGTAATATATTATATAATATTAGATGTATATATATCTATATATGTATATGTACATGTATGAGTCAAAGAAGTCTCACGTTCCTGATGCTCCCACGACCCACTGTGCACCTCTCGGTTGGCCCACTCTGCAGCGGCCCCACACCAGGTAGAGTCCACACCCCAGTCCACGCCCAGAGTTCTCTGCTCCATGATGATTCCAGTCTCCACCTTGTTCAAATGGGGGTTTCTGAAAATAGGGGACCCTAATATAGTACCCTAAATAATAGGATCCTTAATATAAGGACCCCAAGATAAGGTACCCCTAATCTTCGGAAACCCCCAAATCCATGCAGTGCATTTCAGAACGAGGAAGGCTCAGCTCCGATTGCAGTCTGCTGCAGTTGCTGTCGGGAAGGATGAGCTGCCGACGACTCTGCGAAGGTACCTGCGTCCGGAGCCATACTCTGGAGCTGGAAGTCTGGTTCGGCAAGGCTTTTGTAGCAACCCGTGCTTCCGAGAAACCACCTTGCAAAGCTTCCGCTCAGCATCGCGAACCTCGATAATCCAGGCATGGAGCTAAGGGATTCTAGATGAGCTGGGTTCAGTAGACATGTCTGTCTCCAAGCCGCCACTGTTCGACCAAGTCGGTTTCAACGAATCGAATCCTGCGGGGGTGGTCGTTGCAGTTGAAGCATCTCCGCTAAAGCGCACCATGCAGGGAAACATCCGCTTGTTCAGCCGTCCTGTTCCGATTACACCGCGTCCACCAATCTGCTTTCAGCGGGTAGAACGGAGATCGGTTCCGGACCTGGGGCTCTCTGGTACTTGGAGGATCATGGGAGTAAATAGGGTTATAAATAAGGTAACTATACTTATAAGTAATTATAACCCCAATTAAGGTAGTTATAACCTTACTTACTAAGTCCCATGACCCTCCAAGTACATGTGGCACTTATGCAGACCAAGGCATGCTCGAATCTCTGACGGCTCCTTCTCGCCATGCCACAGCTCCAGTAACCGGAGCGAAGCCCCACTTTGAAGCATAATCTTCATATCTTCGGAAGTAATCCGCCCATGGGAACGTCGATAACCCCATGTCCTTAGAGGCTCTGAGTGCCTTTTCCGCGCTTTCCGCGCCAGGGCATCCAGGGCACTGCATCGAAGACCATGAGGTAATCATAGTTTGCAAACTGCTCCACATCCTCCGTGTAGTAAACCTGCTGTCATCTTCTGTCGCTTGCACACCGCAACGTGTGTATTTCAACGAAAAAAAGAGCTGCAGAATCTAAGCTCAGTGCCCATTTCGAGAATCTGCCAGGAGATACTCCTGAGATGAAACAAGCTGGTCTGGCGAAGCAGATGCGGCGCCCGGTTTCCCTTGCTCAGCTTGAGATACGATTTCTCTGAGTGCAAAGCGGTAGAACATTCGCACGTTCGGCTGCCGCAGCTCAAGGAAGCTCTCCAGGCCAGGACAGTTGCCATCTTCCGACACGTCTGCGACGATAACCTGCACAGTGCCGCCGGCAACCCCACTCCGTGGCCGTGGGGAGTCCTCCCCATCAAGAATCTTAACATGCCCTTGCCCTCGATTTGCTACCTGTCCGTTGGTACACCTCTGATGCAGTTCTACGACGAGGAGCATAAACAGCCCATGTAAAGTTGTACGGCATCATTGCACGAATCGAGGCGGCAATGGAGCGACTCTCGCCATCGAAGCCAGTGTTGTTTCGACAGACCAGCGTAGTCATGCCAAGGAAGGACGACCTCATGCTGAACAACTAGATACCTATTTCCTGGGTCCTAGTCCTAGCCATGTCAACATGCGCTCATGTATGATTGTTTTGTGAGTGTACATCTACGCAAAAATGCAAAACACGCGCGCAAAACGCACACCAACCGGCACAAACATTCGCCCCCTAATGTGGTTACTTGACTGGTCCGTTTCTGTTCGCAACATTTACCTGCGCACGTCTCTGCCTCTGCATTCTTGATTGCACACCTTGATCTGTGCTTAGTGTTGGACTCGCAGGTTGTAGAACTGCATTTCGTGGGCACGAACTGATTACTGGACAGGATGCTTCACAAGTCTTTCCGGAGTCCCGAAAGCTGGACTGGTTGGGAGCAGTCGCCCACGATGGCGCTGCATGAAATTTGTCTGCCACGCGACCTGGCTGGCAGAGGACATGTCTCTGTACGGAGTCTGCTGCAGTTTCGGCTGGCAACTAAACGACAACAAACGATGCCCTGTGGTTGCCAAGACACGCTGGAAACTGCGTACCACTCGGAGGAGTTGGACATGACGTGAACGGTGGTCGGGAACTCCAACAAGTTGAAGTAGAAATGCGTGCTGGTATACACCGTGCCTGGCAAAAGCTGGCGGGGCCGCAGGAGGCTTGCAGGACAGGGTGGATCAATGGCGCATGCAACCTTTGTCTTGGTCTGAAATAGTCCCAATACGTCTCATTATGCCCTGCTTGTCAGTTACAACAGGTAGGGGTTGAAATTGCGAGGTGTTCCGAATGACTGCTGCAGTGCTTCTCAGAACGGTGAATTGGTGTCGCTGCAGTTTCTGTTTCAGACAGCTCGGCCTTCGGTGAGCGCCCCAAAGAGAATACCTTCTGCCTGGCAGGCATTATACCGGTCAGCTGCTGTCAGATGCACCGCACGACATCAATCACCACAACAAAAACTCACTGCCTGCAGTGACCCAGCTCCAGGCAGCCAGGGTTTTCGCTGAAAGTGCCCGGTCGCCTTGGAAGACACTCTGTGGCGGCCAGCTTCTGATGCTGGCCGCACTCAATGCCGAAAGTCAGAATGGCGCTGTAGACCTACATCAACGGCAGCAAACAGACGGCTCAACTTCCGCACAGCCAGGCCGGGATACATATCGATCCAGAAGCTGTGCCATGCCTGACCTTATATTAGCGATGTTCACGACACGTTGAGTACAAGTCCACAAGTTGATAATCATCTGCCCTATTCACAACGGAAAAGACTTGTTTGGCTGGAACATAGGCAGCTGTTGCATCTGGGCCGAGTGCTCAGCAATCATGTAGGACCTCGAATCCCGAAGTGGCATAGTCCGGGAGCTTGCTCTGCATTGCCGCATAGTGAAGTCAAGCCGCCCGGTGCCATCGAAATGCGGCTCCCGTGGCTGAAAGATTGTCCCGGCACTCGCCAGCTGTAAAATGGCCTTCAACCAGGCCGGGTTTTTCGAACATCGAACAACACCTGCTATGAAAAAACACCTTCGTGCTCACGGTGGACATCTGCAAAGCTGACCAACCTGTGGGCATCACGGCACCCATCTGCGGCACTTCCAGGACAAGCGTGGAGGACCCCGTGTCCGAGGCACGGACCAGCCGGCGCCTGCTCGATCAATTTGTCCAGATCCCGCCCAAACTCTGGATAGATTTCGACATCGTCCTTGCAGGAAATCGCATCCCGTGAAGTGGAAGTACTTTCGGTCTCAGTACAGCTGCCTCCATGATAAGCACCAGCGGAGGACTGCCTGCACGACTAAACCACTACAAGTACCAGAATCGATCTGTGCCATTCCTCATAAGATCCTCATAGTCTGAGCAGAAATCGGCCATTCCAGCTGGCCTTGGCTCGTGGCCAGCCTCATCGCACGTAAGTGCGAGAGGCTGCAGGCGAGCTCGGTGTACAGCAGCTCGCCCCTGGAGCATACGCTGCATACGCCCCTTCGCCAAGAAACGCGCGTCGCTCCCGCGTGGCCTGGAGTGATGCTCCGGGCATGCCTCGGAACACGCATCGATCAGCTTCGCTTCGACGACGATCGTGCCGTTCGCCTGCATCGCCTCCCATGTGATCAGTTCACACATCCTTACAGACCACTGCAGCACAGAATGCCTACCTTGACATCCTGCGTGGTCACTGCCGGCACACGTGTCACCTGAAGAGTCAGCGTCGACGGCTTCGTTTCACCTGGCTGCAGCCAGAGCCACTCGCATCACACTCGAAATTCGGGTGTATCCGTGCTGAGAGACCGGCCAAGCTTTGCAAACATCTTCTCCATGGCAGCACGACGATCTTTCGAAGAGTCCAGGTTGATCCAATAGATCTGTCAGACAAGCCCACTACGCCACCGATGATTCAGCCCTAGCACAAGCACGAAACAGCCGGGCACGGAATTATATTCCTGCTGTCTGCCTGCAGCGTCCTGGGAACCTTGTGCGGGGAAGGTGTCGGATCTTTGACTGCCTGAGCTGTCCATGTCTCTAAGAGATTTGACCGTCATGTATCTCCATCTCTTGCTTTACCTATAGTCTCCATTGTAGTTCCTTTTTGGGGATACCTTATAAAATCCTTAATATATATTTGGTTGAACCAAAAAAAGGAACTACAATGGAGACTATAGGTACAGTGTAAAGAGGAGTGGCGAAGCGATCTGGCAGCGGCGTCGCTTCGGAGGAGAAGGCGCCACCCTTGCCAGCATGGTTGGAAGGAGCCTGCGGCTGGCTATGGCTATGCAAGTTCAAACCGCCAGTGGACTCAAGAAGCCACACGAGTAAAACCAGATGGGCAGTCGAAGCGCATTTTCGGAATATGTGAGGGTTCGAGCCACGAAGTTGTGAGAAGGTTATGATGTAGGAGGGTATTACACGGAACATCGAGACGGCAGAGCATGCGCCTTCTTATCCACCACGTGCGAGATGTTCGGCTTGCTCACGGCACCTCGATCGGAGTACCTTGACAAACGGGCTTTTACTCGACTTCGAACCCTTCTAAGGCTCCTGCGAACTCAGCAAGGCGAGCAGCTTATCTGCCAGACGTTGGCTCCAGCATTTTGTCTGAGATGCCTTCTTCCCGTACACAACGTGCCTGCGCAGTGAGATGCCAGATGTCTGGTATCAGCAATGTTTCGACTTCTTCAGCGGAGCTGCGATTCTACTGGCACAAAATCGCCAGGAATTCTCGCAACCGGCGGGCAGGTCGCCCAGCGGTCGTATAGGTACTGCTGGAATGAGCACAACGAACCATCCATGTCCTCGGGCAGCAGAACATGCCTGAAGTGTTCAAGAAACAGAAACTGCTCCATCCCGCGCTTTCAACAGCCAGCTAAACCGAAGGTAATGCCACAGCAGCAAGCAGAGCCTGAAACGACTAAGGCCACGGCCCTGTTTGCCTCGGAGCCAACAGGCGACATCTTTGGCTGGAGCAGCCGTGCTGTTCGACCCCGACTTGGAAGGCTCAAGAGAAAAAAATGCCACTCTCCCCTGCGTTCGGGCGGCAAATTTCTCCTGCAAGTAGGGATTGTCGAAGTTCTTCACCATCCAGTCTAGATCACCTCAGCTCTCACCAATCTAAAGATAAAGACAAATCTGCAAGTAACAGATAGCAGACAACCATGAAGACACGGATGGAGACAAAGCGACAGGTGAATACTAGGATAAGGTGCAAGATGAAATAAGATAACTGGAACAACGCACACGTGCATGTGAATATGTGTAATTGCTTATATAATTACAGCATGCATCGCATGTGTATATATATATAGATATGATATGAATATGTAAATGTATGACCTTTACATAAACATATATGTGTGTGTCTAACATGTATACCTACTAGACACAACCAAAAGCACAGCACACTACAAACGTTAACATACAAGAACAGTATGTATGTGTATATACACGCAGTGCACAAGCGCATGTATTAAAAATGCAATGCAGCCGAGTGCAGTACAATGTAATGTCTACCACTGACTGATTCATGCATCCAGCATTCTGTAAAAATTCAAGCAGTTAACAGATACATCATACAACATAGCATATATCTGGCACCACCTCTTTATGATTTACAATGCATGTTGTACCGTACTTGGTATTAATGTTTATCGTAGTAGCAACAGTTAACAGAACATAACCTGCAATGTATGTTAGACAATGCTATTTTAATATGTAGTGAATCTTAAATACCTGTAATACCTACTGATCCATGTTGTAGAACTTTTACGAGCAACACAAAATGTATACCCTGTAGTAAACCCTAGTAAACCCTACGGACACTGTCATTTATACTATTTGCAGAATGTAAAACACTTAGTATAACATACAACATCGTACAACTATAACACATAAGATGGAACACATGCTGCACCTTATAGAACACATGATATGTACCGAATAAAATGCAAGTTGTAAACTGTCATGCGGAACACATGCTATGTAACACGTACCATATAGCATGCTAAAAGCACGAGATATGCTCCAATACAACCCCACTGAACTGCAAGGAGCGCGGCCTCTGCTTTCTGCTAAGGGGCTCTCGCAGTCTGGATAAAGCTCTTCCAGCCAGGCTTGGGAAGGCTCCTAGGCACGAGCCCGTCTGTGGGCGTGTTCCATTCTATCCATTCCATCTTGGTGCAGGTGTGTGTGTGTGTGTAAGTGAGTGGGTGAGTGAGTGAGTGAGTGAGCGAAACAGCCAGAGCGAGAGCGAGAGAGAGACAGAGAGAGAGATTCACCACTGATGTCTCAGCTAAAATACACACTACCCCAAGTTGCAGATCTTTGAGTGTATGGTTCTGCAAACGTGCGCGGCAGCACGTGATGGGAAAAATAGGCCGAGGCACAGTAGCATTGCTGACGCACGAAAACTCGCTCTTGATTTCGCCTTTCGATGTCAAGATGCCGTAGTATCTTTCACTCGGTCCTGGGGGCACAGCACTTCGGAACATGATAACGACAAGCAGCTGTTCGCTGAAACCACTACCAGTAGCACTCTGCTGTCTGAAGTGCGCCGGGATTCGAGTGCCTTTGGTTTCCTCGTCGAAAGCAGTGAATAGCTGGCCCGATACGATGCGCCCGTCGGACAGGCTAGACTCCATCCTTGCAGCAGCATGTCGTCCGGTTTTTCAGTGACCAGCTCTCCACTTCCTAAATCTCAAACTCCACATACCCTGAACCTCATGGCAGGCCAGGTGTCCAACGGGCCACATTCCGAACGAAGCGGTTCGCATGGTCGAGTGTGGCATAGGCATATGGAAAGGCACGGGCAGCCCCACATGTGGGCCATCCTGTCTCACCTGAGAGCTTCCCAGAGCCTCCAATACCCCTTAATTAAGGAATATACTTTAAATTATAGCAGGATCCCTAATAAGGTTCAAGGTATATTCCTTAAGTAAGGGGTATTGGAGTCTCTGGGTTCTTGTAAGCGCCTAGCATGCACTGCATGCACTGACGATCATGATGAGACTTCTGGTGCTGACTACAGCAATGCAAGACTAACACTATGGTTTGCCAATGTCAAGTCATATCTGTTTTGTCATTTTGGTCTGTACAGTCCGAAACCGTACCGTAATATTTACGTGAGCACAGCACATTGGAGCAAGCGGCCAATCGCAAGGGGCAAGTTGTTGTGTGGGAAATCACGATCCAGGGCAATACCTCGGTGAGCCGAAAGAATTGAGCCGTCACGGGCTCTCTGCCTCTGCGAACCCGAAGCCCCGGTGCTTCGAAAGACTTGGCCTGGAGTCTAGCTGTCTAGCTGAGCAGCGGAGTGCAGAGATCTGGTCGTTCAGGAAATTCATCTCCGGGCCAGTCAGATTTTCCATCGCAACCCCTCGAACCCCACAGCTCAAGAAGGGATAAATGTTGATCGTGAAGTAGTCCAACAGGGGGAGGACATCTTTGTACCTGAGGCCGCCGCATGCTGGCGACAACCCGGCGTGATGCCCGGTCCATCCTGTCCCTCTGCTGGCGAGACACTTTTCGATGAACTCAGCTTCCAATTTTGACTTTTGCACGGGGTGACTTCTGTGCATAATCGAATATGCGAACGGCACGGTCACCTCAATGATGCAGGCGGTTTTCATCACAGTTACACAGCTTGCGAATGACTCGCAACAGGCATGAACGACTTACTTGTGTTCAGTCTCAGGAAGACTTTAAGCGCAGGTGCTTGCGCTTCCGGGATTTCTGCTCTTATGGCCTTGATCACTTCGATCACCCGATCCTGGGAACGTGAAATAAGGTCAAACTCATTTTTCCATCGCAGATCACACCATCTCTCTACCCTAGCTGTGGCAGTGTCCGAGTGGACACCACTTCGATCCGGCTCATTGCCAACCGCAACGTGCAGGGAGCCTGGCATCCCGAGCCACAACATCTGTCAAGTCATGGGAAGCACTTCCATTCCTCTGCCTTTGAAGTCATCAGCAACACTTCGGAGCCAGTCCATGTCCACGAAGGGAAGTTCCTCCAACTCCATCGCTCCCAGCAGACATCACCAGGAATTTCTACCGGCAGCAGCACAAGGCATACTGGACTTTCCAAACCACGGGCGAATGCTATCTCAGAAGGCGGAAGGTCATGCAAGAAGAGGTGCAGTACGCCTTGTTGCCAATGCCGATCACCAGTTCCTTGATGTCCACGATGTTCGAGCCATCGGTCTTGCTAGATTGGCGCACGAGCTCCTGGGAGAGATTTCACCGACTACCTTCGAATTCGATGTATGGGAACTGCATATAACTACATTCTACTGGAAAATGCTCCTCAACAATCTCGCGATTGGATGGTGCGAGGTCGTAAGTCTTGACCTGAACATGTAGCACAAGCAGGAACAACAAACTCGGATCTGGACGCTAGACATCTAGACGGCGTCATGCAGCTCCGCGCCTTTCTTGACTTGCTTCGTCTTACATCTGAGGTTCCGGCCCGCTCGATCGGGCGCAACAGACCAAGATGCTCCTACGTAGTATGCAACCCACGTTGCCGTGCTAGATCTGCAAGCATTCAACTGCGCAGTTCTTGAACATCGATGCTTTGGATTGATCCGCCCTTCCCTGTCCTGTATCCGGGGTATAGCAGCAATGGCCTACACCAGCCATGTAGTTCATCTAGCGGTCTAGCGGGCTTCCAAAGCTAACCCTTGCAAAATGACATGCTCGGCAGCCATGCCTGACTGACAGGCAGAGGCTGCTTCATCCACTTGACGGACAAGTTGATACCTACCTGGCCAACAGGGTAGATGTAGACTGCTTGCACTGAAGCTCGACACGAATGCCGTGGACAACATCCTCTCAATTTAACTCCTTATGCTCCGGCTTGCGGTCTTAGGCTTCCCGAAACACAATGCAAGGTGCCTTGCTTGTCGCAGTCTTAGCCTCAGAATCAGAAGCCTACGCAAGCTCATCCGACTCGGCTCAACATGCAGCCGAATCTTCCTGCGCTGGGAACCCAGAGGCTCCAATACCCCTTAATTAAGGAATATACCTTAAATCTTATGAGGGATCCTGCTATAATTTAAGGTATATTCCTTAATTAAGTTTAAGGGGTGTTGGACCTTGGAGTCTCTGGGAAGTGCAGTAAGGCCCTGGCCTGTCTAGGAGGCTTGCCACTCTCGTCGACCGGCTGTTTGGGCCGGGCCAGGGCCTCCTCCTCTATCCGCGAGTCGCCCTGCGTTGGCATCGAAAGAAAGCACCAAGTCATCGATTATATATTATATTATATTATATATATATATATATATTATATATTATATATTATATATTATATATTATATATTAAATTTTATATAGTATATATTATATTGTGTTATATTGTGTTATATTATGTTATATTATATTATATTATATTATATTATATTATATTATATTATATTATATTGTATTATATTATATTACATTATATTATATTATATTATATTACATTATATTATATTCTATTATATTATATTATATGATATATCCTTGAATGTGGCTGACTGACGAAAAGACGGTACAACCCATCGCAGTGCCCGATTTATCTTCGTGTGTGCCTGCGAATCAATGCGAACTACTCTTCGGGAGGCATCTGTTTGCAGGAGGCCGGAAGCCTGGGCAGGGGCTGATGCATCGCAGCTCTGCAAAACTCGTCTCACAGACTCAGCCTCGTGTCGAGAGGTGTCTTTCACGGCTGCACACCGTGAGTCTGCCTGACAGGCTGCAAATTCGCTGCTACAGATCCTTCATGCACCCTCAGACCGCTGTCCTCGCAGGAATCTTGCCCTCTTGCTAGAAGCAAGACGAGGGCCAACGCCTGGCAGCCGCCATTAGTGCGCAAGACTCCAGAAGGCTCGGCAGCGCTGAGTTCCCGGCACACGGCCGCCAGCCATGGAACATATCACGCATCTGCGTAAAAGAAAATCCTTTGGCAAGAAAGAGTACAAGTATCAAATGGAGGCGAGCAGGAAAGGTTTGACACCTGCTCTGAGCCTGAAAGCCGGCAGGAAGCGAGATGTCATGCATCCCGGGCCCGAACCCCAGCCATGAAGAACCCCACAAAACCCCACCAAAAACCCACAAAATCACAGGACCATGTCCAAGTTGGTCAAACTGAACACTTCATGTCACGGATCTTCACAGCTCTGCGTGCCTCTCCAAGATTGCTCTGGCCCCAAAAGCCTTCGCTTTGCAGGCGGTTTGAAAGTTTGGCTGTGTCGGACATGGAGATTCAGGGAAGACTTGCTGGCATCTTCCTTTTCCCGTAGCACTCAACTGAAATACTGTACAAGCTCATTGAGACTACGGTGTCTTGTCGCGGTTTCAGCCGATATACACATCGCAGCATCTGCGTGCAAGTAGATCAGAGATCTAGTGTCTCGATCTGAATCGAAAACAGCTGCCCGATCCTCACTGGCGAGGAAGATTTGACGTAAATTTGTGCCAAAGCTCCTTCCTGGCAGCCTGTGCGAGCATGCTGCTACAGATGATACGATGATGATACGTGGCGACATGTCATGGCTGCATCGCCAAATCCTGGAATACAGAATGCTGCTACATCAAGTACTCGAGCGTATGTTTAGTACGAGCTGAATTTCAGGCACCTGTTGAAGGGGACGAGTGAAACTCGGTGAGACGTCAACATACCGCATATATATCGCTACCAGAAGAGTCGTGCCAGGCAAGCTCCGATGAACGCCGAGCCAGAGCTGCTTCTCGCCCAGGTCACAACTCTTTCTTCTGCTTTTACAATCGAAGACATATGGGGTTCCCAAAAACAGGGGACCCTAATATAGTACCCCCAATAGTAGGATCCTGATTATAAGGACCCCAAAATAAGGTACTCCCTATTTTCGGAAACCCCCATATTCAGCAATAATTCTGATAAATTGTGCAGGAGAGCGTAAGTCAGAGGTCATCGCAACCTCAGTAGGAGTCGCTGCCTGCCCAGTCAGCTCCGGCCTTCCAGCGCAGCTCAATGCGTGAATACAACGACCCTGCGTTGCGACAACCTGGCATTACTTGGAGGATCATGGGACTTAGTAAGTCAGGTTATAAGTCCCCTAATTGGGGTTATAAGTATAGTTACCTTACCTATAACCCCAGTTACTAAGTCCCATGATCCTCCAAGTATAAGCAACACTGCATCCGAGCAGCGTTGATATAGTACACCTGCCCTTGGCAACGGGCAAGGGCTTGACAAGGCAGCGGAGCAGCAGCGAACATGCTCATGCCGAAGCCCAAAACAGCCTTACTTGGCTACTTCGACGGGTGACGATTTCGACTCACAGGCGGCAGCGTTGGCGACGGCGGGCTCACCAACTCGGTGCCCACAAGGCGGAGAGGCCTGCAATGTGCGTTCCTCTTACTTAAACACAGAGATACTATCACTCATCGCATGCATTTATGGTCAGAGGTCACGGGGCCTGTCGTGGCCAGTCTCATCGTCCCTTGCAAACCGCCACACATTGGCGCCGTGAGGCGGTCCAACCAATCCAACAGCCATCTCGGAACCTGCAAGACGAGGCACACCCTGTGCAACGTCGGCTCAGTGTGCACGAGCGCTGTCGAGATATGCTTTTCCGAGCGCAAGCACAAATCAAACATGCTCGCTGGCGTGTGGCATGTGATACGTTTCAGCCCTTGTGCTCGACTCGCCCATGCAGCACTCCTATCGCCAGAGCAGCCTTGCTGCTGGCGCTACAAGTGGCACTTGCTCACACACCGATGGGCGCGTGGGGGGGGTGGGGGGTGGGTGGGGGGGGGGNNGGGGGGGGGGGGGGGGGGTGAAGAGCCCATCAGCCCATCCCGACCCTGGCTCCAACGGCACACAGCCGGCCAGCTTGATGAGTTGCTGGCGCCGGGGAACAGCAGATCCCTCCATAGCATCGGCTACCTATACCTCTTCAAGGCAGGAAACATGTTTCGTCTGCAGTCAAGCAGCTGTACGCCGTGACTTCAAAGCGCTGGACGTCTGCTTCAGTTCCATCCATGTGGCGTACATGTGCGAAGCTTTGAGAGGTCTTGTCGAAGGCCACCTGCAGTTGTGGGTCGAGCTGCCATGGCATGCGAGCTGTTTGCCGCGTCGTTTCACACATCATCGGCATGTCTATCCAGCTACAGATGATGTAGAAACATAGTCGTGCTCTCAGAGAATTCGAATCCAAAGTGTGAATCGAGGGCTTGTCTCGCACAACAACAGAAGCGACATTGTCTCTGGGCATCAACAATGTACCAGTAAAAACGTCTAAACCACACACCACAGGAGAGAATCGGCGCGCATGCGTACACAGAAGATCATAGAAGATCAAACGGGCATCTGCAATAGAAAACGAGTGTTACAAAAATGCACTGGCAGAGTGCAGAAGAGCTGTAGATCTTTGTGTTGATGGCAATCATTTCGAGCAGTCGGAGTGTGGTGCGACAGTTGCTGTACTTGTTGTCGCTTTAGCCTGGCGGCAATTGCTCCTTCTAGTGCGTCCTCCAAGCCAGCCAGCGGAACGCTTGTCCGGCCAGTGCGGAAAGCAGCTTCCAAGCGCTTCCCCGCTTCCTTCTTGAAGGCTTGGACTTCCTTTGCACGGCAAAGCAAAACACCCAAAAGAAAAACAGCTAGGCTAAGGCGGTAAGGCCATCAATTGCAGTCAAGAAATCGCCAGTGTCTCGGTCAAGCGCCAACCAGACCTGTCATGCGAAGCGACACAAGTCCAACATCTGCAAGTACCGTAGACGGACGGACAGAGTATGGCGTTTGGTGTGCGGGCCGGGCGAGAAAGTAAATCCTCGCATGAGGGGTGAGGATGAGGGCGAGGGTGAGTGTGAGGGTGAGTTTTGTGGTGTTTGTCATGTTTTGTCTGTCTTTTTGCATGGTTTTAGCATGATTTTCATGGGCCATCATCTTCATCACACTCCAATGAGAGGGTGTGGCCGGACAGGTTTTAGCAACTATACAACTTGACCGGACAGAGGACAGGACGCCCTGCAAAATTCTCAGGGATGCGAGGCTAGGCGTTCGCACACAGTCAGCTCCATGCGGCAAGAGTTCCGACATTAGAGATTACGAAATTCCACCATGCCTGGTTCACTTGTACCTCACCATCCGACAAGACGCCTGCTCCCAGAAAGGTCTGCGACGCGTTCGGGAGACCCTCTTGTCAAAGATCGCGGGCATTGAATACTAGGAAGGATAGATTTGACCAAGCCCTCCACGTGACAGTAACCGAACCCACTTGATCCCACTTCTCTCGTTTTCATGGCGTCGTTCGACTTGCTTTGCCTTCTTCGGCTGGACCTCTGTCTTGAAAGACCCGGGCTACTCGACGACAGATCTTCTGGACAGCGTGTGGTTGCTTCGGACGCATTCCCTGAGTGTTCATGACTGCCTGGTCTTTGCGCTCACTTACACATACACTCTCACAACTCGGACGATCAACGCGAGGTCTATCGGACGCTTTGTTCTAACTTAGAGCTTGTAATACTCTATCTCACACCCGTACAAACCGGAAATTTTGGACATTGAGCAGGATTCTGCTATCACTATCTCCTCTAGCGCACGCTACACTATACTTGTAGACTCTTGCATTCGTCTACAGCAATGATGACGATACCATTTATTACGCTCTCTGGTTTAGGCCTATATGATGCGCACTTACAACCTGCGACTCTCTGCACCGGCTTAGCTGCCCTGAGGCATGGGCAGCTCGCGTTTCCCCACGGCTCGCCGCGCCCTTCAGAAAGCTCCTCATGGCTCGCTTGTGTGGCGGAGTCTCCTGGGTCTCAAAATCAGCAAACAAGAAAAAGCTTCGGGTTTAGGGTTTAGGGAGGTAGAAGCATGGTGCAGCCTGCAGCTTCGTTGCATGCAAGCCGCGTCTTCCCGAGACGTTCGGGGAGTGTCGGTGCTGATCGGCTGAATTGGGCCCTGGCCCTCACGCCTGAGAGGAGAAACTTGCTTGCCTGTACCGTGGGATTGCAACCAGACTACAAGCTACTTCGCCCTGGCCTTGCGGCCTTGCCGCCCTCCACCCCTTCCATGGAGTCCTCGCCATGGCAGTCTGGCAGTGAATCTGAAGCCCTAGGGAGAAAGACGGGGACCGGAGGCCAGAGCCCTAAACCCTAAACCCAGGCGGCCAAGGATCTCGTGGGACGCTGGATGCCCGCTTTCCGCCCCTGGGTGGAAGACCAGGCCTTGGTGCTCATCCCTTATGGTGTACCTTAACCTACCAAAACCTANNAAGTAGGTTTTGGTAGGTTAAGGAAGTCTAAAGAGTCTAACGAGTCTAAAGAGTCTAAAGTCTAAAGTCGAAACTTCAACAGCAACGAAGGTGGAGGCTCAACAGGGTCGTATACCTTTCAGAACGCTATCAATCACTGGTGACGGTCTGTTGCTTCTCGCGGAAGTTGCTGCCGTTTGCTGTCCCAATGCTTGCTCTTGGTGGCGTTTGCCTTTCGCTTCGTTGCGCAGGTGCAGATGATAATAAACACTAGCCGCTAGTTGAAAGAAGCGCACCGGAGTCCCACTTCCGCCGAGAGACCGAAGGCGCACTCGTGGCACCCGCCGGCTGAAGCCCTCGCGACGATCATCCGTCGGCCAGGTCTGCAACCCAACATCCGCGGAGCTGGCCTCAGCAAAATATGGTACATTATGGCATATTATGGTAGATCACAGTATATATCATGGTATAGTTAGCTTCTTTTGGGGCCGCTGAACTCCGAACTTCCAGCTCTACGCAAGCCAAGGAGCCCTTGTCGAAGCACTGGCACTCCGCAACAGCTTGGGCTTCCTGGTCCCCTGCTCTGGGGAGCCAGAGTTATTTACATCGAACTCGATCTTGCGCGGGGAGAGCGCGTGGATGTAGACCTGCCGAGGAGCACAGACAGCGCGGAGTCTCCTCTGCCTCTGCCTGTGCTTTAAGAAGCTAACTATACTATTTATATACTATGATCTACCATGATACACCATCATATACCATAATATACTATGATCTACCATAATACGCCATAATACACCATCATATTTTGGCTCCCACTTGGCAACACCAGCATATGCATTCATAAACCATAAGATACCATATAATATACCTCCTGCTCCTGGCCTGGTTCAGGACAAGATCTTCCACAGTCAGCTCTCGGAGCTCGTCTGGGTGGCCCAAGCCCTCCCAAGGATCCCTTGGGTCGGCGCTTTCACGGCAGATTTTCGCGAAGTTGCTCTTGAAGGATAGCTCGAACTTCTGAGTTTCTTCGACGGGAGTGTGTTTCATCACCACTTCCACGGGCTTAGATGGCATACTGATGCTACACTCACGTAGCTTCTGCAGGTCACTGCCGCAGCGACGCAAGTCTTGCTCGGTCACAACGATCTGCTCAGCCTTCTTTGGAGGCACAGGCGGACGCTTGTTCGCATATCCCTTGGCCGCAGGCTCTATGCGAGTCGTGCGCACAAGGTGTGGCTGGTGCTCTCTGGCGCCCTGTGTGGCAGGTGTGCTAACAGAGTACACCGAAGCTCCTTCTCTGCGAACATCTTTTTGAGGCGGGCGTGTCCACTCCAAAGGTTGCCAACTTGGAACAAACTCTGCTTCGACTGCTCCAGGCGTGCTCGGCTGATGAAGTGATGCTTCCCTGGAAGACGATCGCTGCAGCTTGCCCTCACGGGTCCCCTTCAGGGACACTCGTCCTTGCGATGCTGGCCTGTCTTTGGATGTGGTCCGGCTCAATGAGTTCAGTGTTTCCTTCTGGAAACCCCTTTGGCTCTGGTTGCTGCCTGGCCGTAAGGATGTTCTGCTGCTGGGTCGTGGCCCTGAGACCTCAAAGCCCTTTTCATCTAGTTTCAGTGTTGGGCGGCGGGACTCCGCACGTATGCCAAGATCGTCCAGCATAGAGCCCTCCAAGTAGCCGAGCTTCATCGTGGAATTCAAAAGCATTCCCCCTCCTATCTTCTGCACAGCTGACTGCGCATCCAAGTGCTAGCTACGGCCTAAGCTGAAACTACCCTGGGCCACTGGGCGACGAGGGCTGCTTTCAATCAGCTACAGAACACAGCAGCATTGAAGCAGCACGAATGTGGGTAGTTCTCTAAATTA